GAGAAAGTAGAATCAACCCAGGGAGAACTCCTCCCTCATCGTCAGGTCTGGTATCTCTTAGGGTTGACAACCAAAGTCTTGATGAGACTAAACGTGTGCTGGAAAAGATTAAGGGAGGGAGACACTCACATCGGAGGACCATCTGAGATGGTGCCATTTTCCTAGAAGGAAATTTAATAATATTCAGCAAGGACCTTAAAAATAGCTATTCCCACAGACCAAAGAATCAAAGAATACACAGATCAAAGAAAAAAGCGTTCAATATAGACTGCATCTCAATGTCAAAAAAACTCCAAGAATTCTCACCATTGCACTGATAGGCAACATCATGATGGGTGGAAGAAAGATTGAAACGGTTAACAACTTCATCTTACTTAGATCACAGTCAACAACCTGGTCAGGAGACCAGGAACCCAGGAGATGTAATGCACCGGGTAAGCCTGCAGTCAAGGACGTTTCCAAACCACTGAAGAGCAATCATGTCAGTTGAAGGACTAAGGTGTACCTGATTCGAGCTGGGGTCTTTTCAATCATTTGGTCTGTAGGACTCTGAGAGCAGTAAAGAAGAACTGAACCCTTTGAACTGTGGTGTTAAGAGCAGAGCACTGAATGAACTGCAGAAAGAACACCTATGTCTTGGAGAAAGTGTATCCAGAGTGCTCCTAGAAGACAAAGATGATAAAGCGCCCGCTCACATACTTCGGGGATGTTTTTAGGAGAGACTTTTCTTTGGAGAGAGCATGTTGGGAAAAGTGGAGGGTCAACAAAACAGAACAAGGCCCTCAACCAGATGGACTGATGGACTGACTGCAGCAATAGGCTCCACTGTGTCAGAGACGATGATGAGGGCACAACAGAGGACAGGGTTCAGGTCTGTTATTCACGGGTTACGACAGGTCATACTCGACTCGATGGCACGTGGAAGAACATCAGTGACCACAGACCCTATTTACCCATTTGATGACTTTCTTGTTACAGTGGGAGCACACTACTTTACATGCAAGTTACATTTTTACTTTACACATGAAAAAAATATCTAGAAGTCATTTAATAACCTAGGGAGCTCTGGTGGCACAGTGGCAAGGAGCTGAGCTGCAATCTCAAGGGTAGGTGGCTCAAGGCCGCCAGCTGCTCCATGAGAGAAGGGTAATCTCCCCTGTGATTAACAGCCTCTGAAAACCTGCCAGAGGGTCAGCTATGGGTCAGTTCCGACTTGATGATTCACACCACCATCACCACCACCACCACCATCACCACCACCACCACCACCA